TCTGTCTCTCACTGTCAGTCAGTCAGTGTGACTGTCTGCCTGTGAGTCGGTGCAGTGCTGTAACACGCAGACAGTGCTGGTGAGATGCGATTTCTCTGCTCATTAATCACCTCCCCCCATCTCTGAACAAACACTGTGAGTGCTGAGGGCGGAGATCGATGACGGGGCACCACAGGGACAACCTGTCCGTTATCTCCTGCAGAGGCTCAATCCACTCAGGGTGACGCAGACGACGCAGGTCATGTGCTTCCAGCTTTCACAGACGGCGTGAAGGTTTCGGGTCGGAGCAGCGCAGGCAGAGCAGAGGGACGAGGAAGGACACGGAACATGCAACAGGACATGTGGGAGAGGGGGACCCTGAGACCTTTAACCCCAGCAGAGAGATCAGGGATACTGTGTGTTTGGGGGTGACCCTGAGACCTTTAACCCCAACAATGCGATCAGAAATACTGTGTTTGGGGGAGACAGTGGGTAAAGACACAACAAGAGCACATTTCTTTATCTTTTTATTGTGATTTGTTTTGTTTTTAATTTGGATTTTTAAACTCCTATAAAGAAAGTAGAGTTAGCTAATAACCATCCAGGAAACAAGAAATACAAAAATGGAAAAACACCCGAACAGAGACGGGGCAGGGGGAGAGCTGGAAGGGGGACGAAGACAGGAGGGGACAGAGACAGCAGAGGGTGGAAAGAGACAGGAGAAATGAAACAGGATCAGGCAGCAGGAGTTTCCTCATGAGAATCGTACAATTAATAACAACAACGATAATAATAATAACAATAATAATAATATAACAATATTAACAGGACCGCTGGACAATGTCGATCTCGACGTTTCTCTTTAATAACAGTATGGCCTGTAACTCTAAACTAAGGCTCACCCGCTGTGTTAGTACAGAAATATCCTGTCTCGAATACAGACAGTGAGACAGGAGTAGATATGTAGAGGAGTGAACATTGTGTTTGTCCTTAGCATAAGCACTGATAGCCCAGCCTGGTGTTTTTATACAAAACATCTTTCACTTTCTTTCCTGGGCACAGTGAGAGAGAGGAGATCACAGAGAATCCCTCAGTAATAAAGAAACACAGTAGGACAGGAGACACAGTGAGAGAGAGGAGATCACAGAGTATCCCTCAGTAATAAACACACAGTAGGACGGGAGACACAGTGAGAGAGAGGAGATCAGAGAGAATCCCTCAGTAATAAACAGCTATTATGTAAGGTAACCCAGTGTACAGCACACTTTACAGAATTGTAAACAGGCTGTTTATTAATTTTGTTGTTATATGGCACAGAGCACATTCACATTCGGCCATAGTACCGCTAACCAACTACAGATGGCGCTGTTTTACAATGCCTGAAAAGCACAGAATGGCTCTGCCTGATTAAACGGAGCACTGAGAGGGAGAGGGGTACAGAGAACCGTACCTGGGACATGCAGGGGTCTCTGTTTAGTCTTCAAGTATGAATCCTCCATTTAGGAAAGAATGATGCTGTTGTGTCTCTCTCTCTGTGATCGTGATGATGATGATGGACTGTATGATCTCTCTCTGTGATGAAGATGAAGGACTGTGTCATCTCCCTCCCTGTGCTGATGATGAAGGACTGTGTGATCTCCCTCTCTGTGCTGATGATGATGGACTGTGTGATCTCCC